GATACAGAGAGAGAGAGAGAGAAAGAGAGAGAGGGAGAAAGGGATATAGATAGAGAGAGGGAGGGAGGGAGAGAGGGAGAGAGGGAGAAAGGGAGAGAGGGAGAGAGAGAGAAAGAGAGAGAGAGAGAGAGAGAGAGAGAGAGAGAGAGAGAGAGAGAGAGAGAGTGAGCAAAGCGGGAAGAAAGGGGAAATAAAAAAAGGAGTTGTGAGGAACGTCGCCAGAGCAATCGTCAGATAAAGGATTAGGAATGCTTGTAAACGCAGGAATGTATCGCCATAGAAGATGGAGAGAGAGAGAGCCGAGAGGTTCGGACAAGAATAAATGAATAAATAAAAAAATGATGAAGGGAGAAGAGACCCGATGGCATGTGCAATCGGAAAGGGAAAGGGGGGAGAGAGCAATAACAGAGGAAGTAATGGACGGAGGCCGAGAAGAGTGATGGAGTGAAGGGAGTAGGGGAGAGGAGGGGGGGGGGGGAGGAAGACTGATGGCAGTGATGGAAGGTAATGGAGAGTGAGCATGAGAGAGGGATGGGATGGAGGCTGAAGGGAGGCCTCGCGACGCATGAGAGGCTGCCATAAGGGTTCGGAATCCCCCCCCCTACCCCACCTTTTTTGACACATAATTCTAACCTTACTTTTTTATCCTTCCGTTTCTCTCCCTCTCTCCCTCTCTCGTGACGCAGGGGGAATGAGCTCCCGTTCCTCTTAGATGGGCCCTTAAGGATTTACAGCCTGTTGTTCAAAAGTGATTTAACATGATGTCAGAAAAGAGCCTCAGATCCTTGATGGATATTACGATGATAAATTCAAACTCGTTGTTTTTCCTTTGAATTTTACACATTCGCGAACACTTTACCCGAAGCTCCCTCGAAAAATACACGACACTTATGGAAATTTTAAGGACGCAGGAGACTATCAGCGCCATTCTGCAGTAGGTAGCATTACGGACGTAGACGGCAGGTCTTCGTCCAGAGGGTTATCCCTGGCCTTGACGAGGGAGATGATGGCGTTCGAGGCTGGCGAGAGCAGCCGAGTCCGCGATGAGGCTGGCGAGAGCAGCCGAGTCCGCGATGAGGCTGGCGAGAGCAGCCGAGTCCCCGATGAGGCTGGCGAGAGCAGCCGAGTCCGCGATGAGGCTGGCGAGAGCAGCCGAGTCCGCGATGAGGCTGGCGAGAGCAGCCGAGTCCGCGATGAGGCTGGCGAGAGCAGCCGAGTCCGCGATGAGGCTGGCGAGAGCAGCCGAGTCCGCGATGAGGCTGGCGAGAGCAGCCGAGTCCGCGATGAGGCTGGCGAGAGCAGCCGAGTCCGCGATGAGGCTGGCGAGAGCAGCCGAGTCCGCGATGAGGCTGGCGAGAGCAGCCGAGTCCGCGATGAGGCTGGCGAGAGCAGCCGAGTCCGCGATGAGGCTGGCGAGAGCAGCCGAGTCCGCGATGAGGCTGGCGAGAGCAGCCGAGTCCGCGATGAGGCTGGCGAGAGCAGCCGAGTCCGCGATGAGGCTGGCGAGAGCAGCCGAGTCCGCGATGAGGCTGGCGAGAGCAGCCGAGTCCGCGATGAGGCTGGCGAGAGCAGCCGAGTCCGCGATGAGGCTGGCGAGAGCAGCCGAGTCCGCGATGAGGCTGGCGAGAGCAGCCGAGTCCGCGATGAGGCTGGCGAGAGCAGCCGAGTCCGCGATGAGGCTGGCGAGAGCAGCCGAGTCCGCGATGAGGCTGGCGAGAGCAGCCGAGTCCGCGATGAGGCTGGCGAGAGCAGCCGAGTCCGCGATGAGGCTGGCGAGAGCAGCCGAGTCCGCGATGAGGCTGGCGAGAGCAGCCGAGTCCGCGATGAGGCTGGCGAGAGCAGCCGAGTCCGCGATGAGGCTGGCGAGAGCAGCCGAGTCCGCGATGAGGCTGGCGAGAGCAGCCGAGTCCGCGATGAGGCTGGCGAGAGCAGCCGAGTCCGCGATGAGGCTGGCGAGAGCAGCCGAGTCCGCGATGAGGCTGGCGAGAGCAGCCGAGTCCGCGATGAGGCTGGCGAGAGCAGCCGAGTCCGCGATGAGGCTGGCGAGAGCAGCCGAGTCCGCGATGAGGCTGGCGAGAGCAGCCGAGTCCGCGATGAGGCTGGCGAGAGCAGCCGAGTCCGCGATGAGGCTGGCGAGAGCAGCCGAGTCCGCGATGAGGCTGGCGAGAGCAGCCGAGTCCGCGATGAGGCTGGCGAGAGCAGCCGAGTCCGCGATGAGGCTGGCGAGAGCAGCCGAGTCCGCGATGAGGCTGGCGAGAGCAGCCGAGTCCGCGATGAGGCTGGCGAGAGCAGCCGAGTCCGCGATGAGGCTGGCGAGAGCAGCCGAGTCCGCGATGAGGCTGGCGAGAGCAGCCGAGTCCGCGATGAGGCTGGCGAGAGCAGCCGAGTCCGCGATGAGGCTGGCGAGAGCAGCCGAGTCCGCGATGAGGCTGGCGAGAGCAGCCGAGTCCGCGATGAGGCTGGCGAGAGCAGCCGAGTCCCCGATGGGGCGGCTGGTTAA